GGCCGGGAGGACGTGAAGGAACCTGGGCCGTCCCCATTCCGGGAGCCCAGGCCGGGGAGGACTTGGGGAGCATCAGGCTGGGAGGACACGGAGGGAGATGACACCCAGCTGGCAGGACATAGGGGTGCCCGGGAGCCCCTGATGCAGGACCCCAGGCCCGTGTGGACCCCAGACGACCCCTCTATAAGAACCCAGACCCCAGAGGACATGGGGACACCGGATTGGGAGGAAGAGGGGTCACCCAACCAGTAGGACATAGGGGTGCCTGGTCACCCACGCTACAGGAGCCCAGGCCAGGAATGACATGGAGGGAACCTGGGTGTCCCCTCTGCAAGAGTCCGGGTCCAGAAAAATATGGTGTGCTCAGTCAGGGAAGATGTGGGAGGGCGGCCAGGAGAACTGGGCGGGGGAGTCCTCCCGCCGCTCCCACTGCAGGCGCCAGTACCGAGGACCCCGCTTTGAGATCGGTGCACCACGGCCTGTCGGCCTCGCTGCCCACAGGACTCGGGGACTTGGGGTGCTCCCTCTCGGGTGCACCGACAGCTTGGAGGAGCCATACCTCTCCACCTGGCCTTGGCAGGGCCCTGGAAACGGGAGGATTGGGCATTCCAGATTCCTCGGGCATAGCCTAACCCGTAACCGGGAAGAGGATCGCCAGAGCTGGGCGAGGAACCGGGAGGTTTGGGGTGCAGAGGGCAAGGAGGGCCTGGCCTACCCCACGGCGCCGCGCCTCCTGCGCTGCTGTAGAGACACTTCCTTCCCACACTCTCCACCTCGGGCGGCTGAAATTTTGCACTGGGCGACCATAGGCCAATCCTGGAGCGCGGTTCCCTAAAGGGCTGCCTCCCGCACAAGTCTGCATCCCGAATGACAGGCTGACACTTGGGTAATGCTTCCATCCTGGTAGCCCCAAGTCGTTCAGAGAGTTGTTTTTTTTTTTTTTTTTTCAACTATGCCAGGGATAGGCAAGTGTTTCGTTTTCTTCTCTTTCTTTCTTTTTTTAAGGGGGGCAGCCAGATGAAACGAAAACGCCTTGGTTTTCCCCTAAACCTCTCGCAGCTGCCGCGAGAAAGGGCAGGGCAGGAAGGGCCAGCGGCTGGGGAGGTGGTGGTGCCCGAGGTGGCTGGGAACGCCGGCTGCTGGCAGCTGAGGCCCTCCTTGCTCCCATTAAGACTTCAAATTGGAAAGAAAAAAAAAAAAAGACTGGTGACTCTTTGAGGTCTCCCGGGTGACATCTTAAAATACCAGCGGGGGAAATCTCCAGGGGAGGAGGGGGGAGGAGGCCCGTGTGACTGTAATCGTCAGATCGGAGGTTTTACTGTCACTTGGAGCTTAAAAGGAATCTTTGAAATTAAAAGAAGACAGGATGTTGACAGGAAATCTGGCCTTTTTAATCAGACCCCAAACATTTTCTCCTTGAAATCTTTACCATCTGGACCCCCAGTCCCTGCACACGGCAGCCACGTTTAAATGGCTGTGACTCTGTTTAAAGTCTGGTTCAAAAGGCATCGGCCTCTTGGTGTGCCTTGGGTGGAGAGGAGGGGGGAAGAGATGACATTTAAGTGGGCAACGCCACCCACCCACCCTGCAGTTCCCAGCAGGTACAGGTTTAGTTATCAAAACGGGGTTTTCTGGATCAGCTTACACAACATCAGTTTTGCTTTGCATTTTGCATTTTCTCTGCATAACGAATCCAGACTCCAGCGAGGCTATTTAACTGGGCCTTGGCCACATGGCTGGGCCAAATTTCATGCCCCAAAGGGCGATGCGTTAACTTCGAGCAAGGAGTACCCCTGTTATTATCATTGCTGGTTCTTCTGCAAGGAGTGTGTAGTCTTCTTTAGAGCCCCACCCTTGGCAGTGACCTTGCTGATTGACAGCTCTGGCTTAGACTTAATTTATTTAAAAAGGGAAGGTTTCTTGGGGCTCACATTAACCATTGGACCCAGGATTTTGGGTATGGAGGGTCCATCATTTGTGTCTTGTGTTGGAGAGGGACCTACACCACTAAAGCCTCTTCCACCCCAGCCTCCGAGAAATCTTCAGTGAGCCTGGAATCTAAAGGAGTGGCTGGGTGCATCCCTCCTTTTGGCCTTTCTAAACCCGTCCTTTTTCCTCAGGTGGTGGCACTGGGGGATGTGCCTGATGGGACCGTGGTGACAGTGATGGCGGGCAATGATGAGAATTACTCCGCTGAGCTGCGCAATGCTTCCGCTGTCATGAAGAACCAAGTGGCCAGGTTCAATGACCTTCGCTTCGTGGGCCGGAGCGGGCGAGGTGAGCAGGAGGGACCCTGGGATGGCAAAGGTTGGGATAGGGATTGAGGGAGGCCTCTGGGTCTCAGCCAGAGCCCTGGAAACAGGTCTGCAGACCCAGCCGCTGTCTGAATAGCAGCTCTCCAATCGGGTAGACATTGTACTACCCTTTCATGTGAATATATTTATGGTCTCCTGCTAGTAGAGTTTTCTCCCAGGTTTCAGGGTTTAGCAACTACTAAAAGCCTCTAGTGTGGCCGCTTTTCCCACTAACATCCCTGATCTCACAAAAGATCCGGGGTGAAGGTCCTGTGCGGGAGCTCAAGCAGGGTGTGGATGTCTTTTGGTTGGGGCACCCCAGCTACTCGCCCTAGGTGCAGGAGGACCCCGTGGTCTCCCGAGAGCTCTGGGCTTCTTCAGGTACTTTCAAAGTGAGGAGAATTCAGGGTGGTATGATGAATGTTGGAAAGAGAAGTTTGAAAGCTACCATCTCAGCCTCAGGCTCACGCTGGTGGCTGCCCTGTCAGTATGATCCACCCCGGTAGTGGCAAGAAGGCAGGACCAGACGCCACAGTGGCTGCCGCCAGAGGCTGTTGAGTGGGAGGCACTGGGACCCGAAACCCGTCATCATGTAACTCTGGGGTGGTGGAGCCCTCCTCGTTCCCATGCCCTGAGGCTAGGAGGATCTGCGGCTTTAAGACTAGCCCTGCTGAGAAGCGGCTGAGCCTTGAAGTGGCTGAGCCTTCACCTTCTGAAGCTCTGGGAGCCTCCAGGGTTAGGAAGTGAGCCGGCTCCCGTTGGCGGCTGCCATGGCTGGGGCAAAATGGTACTTTTCAACACCAATAAACAAGACCTTCTCAAGGTTGGAGTTCCCTGGAAGCCGCCAGCCTGCCCCACTGGGCATCTGGGCACCATTTTGCCCTCTGCAGCCGTACAGTATATACATACAAATGTCAAACATATTTTTTGACTTTTCAGCATTAATTAAAACCAGAGTGTTATTTGCATGTAATAACTGTTTACTTGTTACTTTTTATGAAACTGAAATAGTTTACATTCTTTCTAACATTTCCTGTTCCTGTTGGCTCCCTTCCCCACGCACAGATTTCTTTCAAACGTAGCCCTTAACTGGCTGCAGGTTGATGGATGGAAAATGTTTGCTTTTATGAATTAAGCTTTCATTGCTGCTCCTAATTAGTCTCCAAGCCCCTTTTGTCATCCCCAGTCCCTGAACCCTTTGCAACTTAATCGAAGTTCTATCCCTGAGTGGAACGTCACTGCTACAGGCCCCAGGTGAGGGAGCACACTATAATGTCTGTCCCTAGAGAAGTGGATAGAAAGTGAAGTGGGTTCCGGGAGCCCCACAAGTCGCTAAGCACTCCAGGCTCCCTTCTCCCTCCACGCTGCGCTGCTCCCTCTCCTGGGAGGTGACAGGAAAATTAAAGGGTGATGATTCTCTGATGTACTGTGACCTCTCTACAAACTAAGGAAATATTTTGATTTATTTCGAGACAGTCTCACAGTGTAGTGTAGACTGGCCTGGAACTTGTTACATAGTCGAGATGAACCCCAGGCTTTCAGCACTGCCTCAGCCTCCTGGGTGCTAGGATTGCAGGTGTGGGCTGCCTCACCTAGCCCACAGAGGATTTCTTAGTGAATTGTACCACCCACAGACAAGGGCCCAGGCCATTGAGGTCCCTGGGGAGAGATGTGTTTTCAAGGTGTCACTGAACTGCTCCAGTTAAAATGTTCTGTGTTCAGCCTCTCTCCAGCCTCAGTGGTTCCTGAAGGGAGGAGGAAACCCCATAGACTTCTTCTTGCCCGTGGAACTCTGGACTGAGTGCTCTTGGCTCCTGCTCTTCCAGTCTGAGTCTGAGTTCCAAACCAGCTAGGGACTTGCTGGATAGCATTAGGGAACTGACTTAACCTCTCTGTGCCTCTGTTTCCTTATCTGTGAAACGGAGGGCTGATAACGGCATATTTTAATGAGACATAAGAACACATTGATATAAGTGTGAGTTCTCAGGTACTGAAAGTTGGGTACGTGGTAGAGATTTTGTTCTTTAAATGGTTGGCACTGAAAAAGCCTTTGAGGTCCCTTTGAGCCCTGTCACACTCACTGATTCTCTGATTGCAGTGTGGTTTGGCCGGGGGTGGGGGAAACCCAGAAGGTGTGCACTGTTGAGTGGGACTGGTGGAGGCGCTGGTGTGAGGGAGGCGGGCCAGAGTGCACAGTGGCTACACCTCTGCCATGCTGTCCCAACAATTGGGAAATTCCCTCTTGAGAACATTCCTCTGATTAACCCGGAGAACCTGGGCCACTTTAAGTCAAGATAGAGATAACCCAAGAATCTTCCCTTGTTCTTTGATGTCTTCCAGGACTAACAATCCTAGATGATTTCTATGTATTTTGGCTTTTAAAAAAAAATTCCTGCTTTCTGTCTGAATCCCAGAAAGATCACTTTCCATAAAGGACAGACATGTACCAGCACCCTGGTACTTTCATGACACTGCAGGTGAGAACCAAAAGGAGAGCAAGCCAGACAGGTTCCTCCAACCATTGCAGCCCCAATGTCTTGCAATCTGCATTTTAGCTTCCTTCGGAGGCCATTCAGTCCCTGAATCTCTGCCATCCCATAGCTTCGAGGAAAAGAAAATAAACATCATTTGTGGCAGAGACAGATTTGAATATGTAAATGTCTAGTGAAACCACACCTCTTCAACCTGGGCCGGTGCATCCTTCACCAAAGCCCCTTGATATGGGGTGACAGGACTCAAAAGTGTGACTGTGGTCTAGCTGTCAGTCTGTGTCAGGACTTTCTGAAGATGGAAGAAAAAGTCTCTGCGGAGCAGTGAACAATGGTGGTGGTGGTGGGGAGGTGGAGTGATTGTTGTTTTGTTTTGGCTTTTTTTTTTTTCTTTAAACAGTGCTAGGTGTCAAAGTCAAGCGAGCCAAACGATCTGACACTGAACCACATCCACAACACCCCTCCAATAAAAACAAAACGAGACCCCATTCTCTGAAAAATTCACTAGTTATTAAAAGAACCCCAAATTTGCTTTAGTTTAGGAAAAACTAAGTTAGGTTCTTGATTCAGGAAGATTTTTTTTAGCACAGTTTTGTTTTGTTTTGTTTTTAACACATTTTTTTCCTTCCTAGGAGAAATTAATTCTTTGTAGCCCTATGCAGTGCTGGGCTTATGTACTCTCTCTCTCTCTCTCTCTCTCTCTCTCTCTCTCTCTCTCTCACACACACACACACACACACACACACACACACACACACACACACACCTGTCCGCATGTGCATGGACTCTAGGGTGCATTGAATCCACCTCTAGGGTAGATGCTCTCTTTGGCCCATCACCATGGCAATCCCCAGCTTGTCTTCCAGAAGGCAAAGTAACTGCTGGCTTAGGCCAAGATGAATCACTTAGCACCTGTCATTAGCTGGCTAAGAGGCCGCAGAGTATGTGCAGAGAGACTTAGGGTGAGAGCTGTAGCTGTAGGCTGATGGGACCTCTAGACAAGGCATAGGTGGTGTCTTGCTGAAGCTGAGAGGCTGTGGAGCTGGGGGCGGTGTCCAGGCAGCTCCTGTAGGTGGGGCTTGATTGTAACTTCTCCCCTTGTGGCCTGGCCCCATTACATGGCTGCTGGGCTCCTGTACCCCCACCTCCTCCATCTTCCTCTCAGCTTCCTGCTCCAAAAGAGAGTTGTTCACCACGGGGGGGGGGGGAGGGTGGGGGGGGAGGGGGAGGACATTGGGGCTGGAGGCAGCTTGCCCTGCCCATATTTCTCAAGGTTTCTCATGCTCCTGGACCCCAACCCTGATGTCCTGATTCCCTTTCCTCTCTGTAGGTAGCTGAGAAGGCAAGGAACTGTTGAGGTCTGCTGGTGACCTCAGGAGTGTCATGTGGTTTGCTCCCTGGGGCAGGATGGGAGGGGAGTGGCAGGTGTTTAGTTGTGTGGGGTTAGAAGGGGGTGGCAGCTGCAGCAGATTCTGGGTCCTACCTGGATACTGTGTGAGCTGACCAACCATGGCCCCTATGCGAGCTGAGCATTTACAATAGTTAACTCAGTCTCTGCCACACACCCGGTGGTATCCTGGGGACTGGGGCAATGGGGTGACACTTCTGGCTCGGGTGAGCTTAGCATCTAAGAGAGGGAGAGAAAATCAACTCAAAGATGGATTCTGAAGGGAACTTTGCAAGGAAACTTCACGAAGGTTCCTGAGCAGGAGGTGCATGGGGCTACAGAGGCTAACAGCTACATTTAAGCCATGTTGGGGGTGGATAGTCGTGGTGCGTTGCTACTGTGTGGGACAGATTCCATAGTAAGCTCTAGCCAAGGGTCTGATGATGACTATAATGTTGACTTTGTGATGAGCATTGAGGGTATTTGGAAAACTCTGTAAGGACTGTCACGTGATCTCTGAATGTCTGTGTAGCTTGTTGGTGACAAGGTCATAGGTACTGCTCGTTTAAACTTCTGTGGCTTGTGGCTTGCATTCTGGCTTGAGAGAGGCTCTTTCCAGTTAGGGGTCGGGGACAATACTATTGCAAATTTTCCTATCCCAGATCCCTGGCCTGCTCTATACTAAGAAGGGTCAACCACAGAGGCCAAATTGAAAATGTCCACTTTGTGTGCTTGGTGTTTGAGGCCCTGGAGATGGAACTCAGGACCTGAAGCATTCGAGGCAAACCTCCGACACTGAGTCACACTCCCCCGGCCTCTGAAGTGTCACCTTTAAATAAAGAGGCCAGGGAAAGTCCTCATTGAGAAGGTGACTCTACAGTACAGACTTCGTCCTCAGAGTCAGGGTTCCTGGTAGCTGGGGCTCCAGGTACCAGCCCCCCCCCCACTTCACTGTGGCCCCCGAAGCAATGAGGTCAGAGAGCCAGTCCTGCTTCCCTCTAGCACCCCATTGGCTGGGAGGAGGAGTCTAGGAGAGAAATGATACCAAATGAGAGGGCAGAGAGAGGACTGTCCCCAAGGAGAGTGGAAAGGAGTCTGCCCTGTATTGGCCTAGACTGTCTGCAGTTCTCTTTCCAGAAATGAAGCAAATGGCCTCTGGCCTGAGGATGAGGGCCAAGCTGGCTTTCCTAACTAAACCTTCAAGGATGGATGCCTTAGCGTTTGCATCCTGACCTCTGCTGCCTGCCTTGGGGACCTTTTTCCACTGAGGGATCTGTTTCCCAGGGGTGCTCTGACTGTACTCTCCTGAATCCCAGAAGCCCTTGGGTTCGGGGGCTCAGCTGGCTAGCCTGGCTGCCTCAGCCATGCTCAGTCGTCTCTTGTTTCCAGGGCTAGGGGCTAGAATTTTCCCTTGAGCAAAGAGAACATTAAGATGGTTCTGCCCTCTGGTACAGCAGGGCTGTGGAACTGCACCAGTCCTTAGGGCGCCATTAATGAGATCTGCCTCCAGCAGCCTCCTGAGGGCTACCAGGGCCACTCTGAAGAGGCACAAATGCCTGGACTTGGACTGCCCTGGGAGTCCCCAGGCTTCTATCTCAGGTTCACAGTTAGATCCACAGAAGCAAAGCAGGTTGAGGGGAAGTCAGGCTGGGTATCTGTGGAGTCCCACCCCTCACCCCAGTCTCATCTCAGGGTCTAGCCACCTGCCTAGATCCTGGAGATACCTGTAGAGACACAGAGCTCTGGACACAACCCAGTGTACAAAGCAACAGAGTGACTAAGATGCAAAACAAAATAAAACAAAAACACAGGCTTGCCCTTTGACATCCCCTCACCTGAGACCTTTCATGCCAGACAGAGCTTTCACAGCAGAGTACCTTCCTCTATTTCCTGCCTGGGGAGATCTGTCTAACACTGAGAAAGAGAACAAAGTTTGAGAAAGGGCTGAAGTTAGAAACCAGGGTGTGGTGGCCATCACCCAGACAGCCCATAGCTGTGGACAAGCCTCAGATGGAGCAGTTGTCGAAGGTCCTAGAGCCCCAATGGGAAAGTCTCGAGAACAGGAGGTGGTGATGTGCACCAGATTCTGGTGACCGATAGTAACCAGAGACAAAGTTTCAGTCTCAGTAATAAAAGATAGACAAACAGAGTCAAGAGAAATTCGAGATCTCCCATCGTGATAGACACAAGCCACTGGCACTTGAGTGACGTATGACCTCACACCACACATGATGAGGTATGTGTCCCCAGAGAGTCCAGATCAGCCCCACAAACTCATCCCAGGCCCCTGAAGTGACGCACTCACTCAACACTTCTTGCAACTCCCTGGGAGGAAGTCAGCAATACCGACAGAGATTTTGACACATGGAAGGTCATTTCCATTTTATTTTAAATGATAAAGAGAAAAAAAGTATTATTTTAAAAGATTTTCCCCTCGAAGGAATTTTGAATGAAGGCGTTGGAGCCAAAGGTCTATCTAAAAATAGAGCTGGGTTCTGGAAATAACAGTACCTACAGCTCTCCGGTCCATCCTCCTGCAGCTCTGGCTGCACACGGCAGCAAGAAATTAACAATGACATCAGGAGGTGGACCAGTCAAAGCAGACTTCCACCAGGGGAATATTTAGCAGCCATTAAAAATTGAAGTTTATGGAGAATTTGTAATACTGTCACAGGGAAAGAAAACAAGGCAGGGGGTGGAGAGATTTCTCAGTGATTAGAGCAATGGCTTGTCTGGCAGCAGACCTGGGTTCAATTCCCAGCATCCACATGGTGGTTCACAACAGTCCGTAACTACAGTTCCCAGAGATCTGATGCTGTATTCTGATCTCTGTGGGTGCCAGATCGCATACATGATGCACAAACAAGCATGCATACATGCAGGCAAACAGGCAAAACACTCAGACAAATAAAATAAATATTTTTAAATTAAAAGCAAGACAGGTCCCAGCACTCGGGAGGCAGAGTCAGGAGGCTCTCTGTGAGTTTGAGGTCAGTCTGCTCTACACATCAAGTTCCAAGACAGCTGGAGTTACATAGAGAAACCCTATAGAAGAAGAAGAAGAAAAAGAAGAAGAAAAAGAAGAAGAAGAAGAAGAAGAAGAAGAAGAAGAAGAAGAAGAAGAAGAAGAAGAAAGAAGAAGAAAGGAAGCTATAGATTTTAGTACCACAGCAACTGTGTAAATATGCATGCCCACTCAGATAGGTGGAAGAGAAAACCCCAGATGATGATGGTGGCTATCTCAGCTAGTGGAACTGGGGGGGTGCAGTTTCTTCTTCACTTTAAATATGTTTTGTTCTTATTTTTTCTATGGAGATCACTAATTACTTTCAGGAAAAGAACACCCCACCTATCTGAGATCTTTACCTTAAAACTGTATGGGTCCCTAAAAAGAAAGAATATCACAAAAACAAGTCACATAAGAGAGAGAAGAAGCCAAGAGGGTGGTGTATGGTAGGACAGCTGGGGCCACACCTCCTGAGGCCTTGAATGCCAAGCCCAGCAACTTGCACTATACTCTCCCGCCTTCTCTTTGTGTTTAAAGTCGGGGGCGCTGGTGGCAGAGTGAAGGTGGGTGACCGGGAGGCTGAAAGTGTCTGGCATCAAACTCCTGCCTTGATTTTCCCAGGGAAGAGTTTCACGCTCACAATCACCGTGTTCACCAACCCTACCCAAGTGGCCACCTACCACCGAGCCATCAAGGTCACCGTGGATGGACCCCGGGAACCCCGACGTAAGTGCTGCTAAGCCCTGGTCATGGCAAAGGGTCAAGGGAATAAGGGAACAGGGGGCTGGACCGGTAGCTTTGTGTCCCCCTCTGAGAATTCATAGGGTTTCAGCTAGACTTGCTCAGCCCCAGGCTCTGAAGGGTCAGCAAGGAGGTCAAGACAGTTGAGCCTCTCTAGGGACAGCCTGGAAGAGGCATGGAACCATGTTGAAACCATGGGGGGTGGCATTTGGGATGGGGATTAGGCCAGTTTTCTCTGCACCCCAGTTGCCTCCACAGTAATGAGGCATGTAGGGGAACAGCCCCCCCCCAAGATTGGAGCTGGTCCCATGTGCCATGAAGCCACGCCTCTTTCTGAAAACCCTAGGTCTTCAGAGCTCAGGCAGGCTGGCTACAGGACCCATATAGACAAGAACGGGAATGCAGTCGGAGTTTTCAGTGTGCACTGAGTGTGTGTGCAATATGCACAGAGTGTGCATGCAGTGTGTACTGAGTGTGCAGTGTGCACTGAGTGTGCAGCGTGCGCTGAGTGTGCAGTGTGTACTGAGTGTACAGTGTGTACTGAGTGTGTGTGCAGTGTGCATTGAGTGTGTGTGCAGTGTGTACTGAGTGTGCAGTGTGCATTGAGTGTGTGTGCAGTGTGTACTGAGTGTGCAGTGTGTACTGAGTGTGCAGTGCGCACTGAGTGTGCAGCGTGCACTGAGTGTGCAGTGTGTACTGAGTGTGCAGTGTGCACTGAGTGTGCAGTGTGTACTGAGTGTGTGTGCAGTGTGCACTGAGTGTGCAGTGTGTACTGAGCACCGACTACATTCAGGGAGTCTCAGTCCATCAGAGTCCAGGTCTGCAGCGGGGGTGGAATTGCACACTTACCACAGGGGCTCCTCATGACATTTGAGCCAAAGAGTTTCTCTGTTTCAGGGAGGTAATGGCCCAGGCCTGATGGCTGGGTGCTTGTGGGGACCATGACTTTTGCCAGTGGGGATATGCTCCTGCCTCAGGCTTCCACTCTGGCTGATAGGGCTTGTGACAGGAGAGCAGGTCCTGGGACCTCTGCTTAGTGCCAGGGGACACAACAAGTGTGGCTTGCACTTACATCGGTGAGTCCATTCAAACCTTGGCGTCAAGCTTGACTTCCCATCTAGTGCTCCAGCAGGTAGATCTTAGAAGGGGCCCAGAAATGGACCAGTGGCCTTGGGGAAGTCTCTTTGCCATCCCCTTAACTGTAGGACTTGGGCAGGTCATTTCCACCCTCATTTTTCTTGTCTGAGAAATGGGTTTGCACCAGCAAGCAACGGATGGCCAGGAGACAGGCCCTGAGCACCTTCTCTGTGATGGGGCTGATCTACCACCACCACCCCACACCTGCAGCTCAATGGCAGTGTGTACATAGCAGATGGCTTTGCAGAATGAAAGGGTTTCCTGAGCTCCTGTGTCTGGTCCTTACCTTCGCACTTCCACCACCACCCTCAGGAGCAGCAGGGTAGCTGCTGGGAACCTCATTAAAGGGGCCATAGCTCTGCACCCTGTCCCCAGAGTGGGCTTAGCATGAAGATGCAGCACTTAGGGCTACAGTGAGCCTGGGAATTAGGGGCAGAAGGGAGAGGTTCCAAGGAGATGCCTGGATGGAGGTCCCAAGATGCCCCTGTGTCCACCTGTTAGCTGAGTGCTCCCTGAGACCTGTGGAAAAGGGTGTGGCTCAGCCTGCCCACAGAGCCCTATGAGTCCCCTGCCTACCTTCTCCTGGTTCCCCAACCCGCTACACCTTAGTTGTCCCTTTCTGGAATAAGGTGGCTGGGAGGGGGACAAAACAGAAAGAGGTCACTGGGGTCAGAAGCTGGAATTGCTGAGTGGCCGAAGGCACATGCTATCACTCTCTGGACCTTCTTACTAGCTCATTTTTGCAACAGAGCAGAGGGGTGGGGCATTTCTCCAGGGTACCCCATCCTTGGGACATGCTTACTCCTGCCCATGGCCTACCTGGCCCAGAAATCAGGTCTCCTAGTCTCAGCGTACTTATGCTTCCTCTTCGTTGGACTCAGTTTCGCTCTGTAAAAGAGGGAAGACCCCCCTCCACACACACACACACACACACACACACACACACACACACACAGCTGCTGGTCACGGAGTGACCCTGTATGCACAGCCTGTGCAGTCTTTCTATGAGCTGACCCTCAGCAATGCCCCCTACCCTGGGGAGGTAGTGCCACTGCCTGAGGTGACCTTACCACCTCCAGATTCCAAGTGGGTCTCCTGGAGGCAGGCTGAGTGTGCAGGAGGGATTTAGGGGGATTGTGTGATTCCTAAGTCACTGATGACCCACAACTCTCTGAGGCCTGACTCAGCCTCCTGGCTCTCAGATTTCTGTACTTCCCTCCTCCTCCACTCCTGGACCCCTGGACCCCCTGGATGTCAGAGCCTCTGAGGGTGAGTGGGGCTGGCCCAGAGTCCAAGAGCTGGAGTCTGCATCCCTGAGGCCCAACTGTGGTTTCTGTGGCCAGGTCGTTCCCCTCTGGTGCCTTGCAGAGCGTGCCCAGCCTGCAGCCGGGTGGCCAACTGGGGCTGAGGCTGGCGCAGTGGCTTCCTGCCTGTGTGGCCTCGGTTTCTGATACATCCCTCCCAGTCACTGGGGACTGGTTCAAATGCAGGTTGCTGAACTGGATTCAGCACTGGGATAGGAAGTGACGCAGGGCCTGACCACACTGGCAGTGACCACAGTTCGGGAACAACTAGCCCCATCCTCCGGGTTCAGCAGGTGCTGGTACCTACCGTGTGGGGCCCAGCTTCCTCACCCTTCTCAGAGTTGAGGGCATGGCCTGGAAGCTTCTGTTCCCCTAAATACACACAAAGCAATTCCTACAAATAGTTTCCCAGGCACCTGGCATCCCCCCAGCGCTGTTCCATGTGCCAGGGATGCCGCCCTGAACCCCACCTGCTGATTCCAGAGGAGAGGAGGGGTAAACAGGTTTGACAGTGACCACGGTCATGGTCGTGCCAAGTCTGGTGATGACTCCTCCTTCCTCTCTTGTACCCTCCACCCTAACTCACCCCACTCCAGCTGCTGGCCTCTGCCAGGTATGCTCCTGCCTCAGGGCCTTTGCACAGCTGCTCCCATGCCAGAGTTATGCCTCCACACTAGTCTGCATGCTCCACCACACCAGGGTTCTTTTCTTTTGCTTGGCAAACACGTGCTCCTGGCCCTGAGGATGCCCTCTCGAGCATTTAGTTGATATGTCTTAAATGGGTCAGGAATAAGCTCAGTAAATAATGTGTTCTTTTCAGCAGTGGGAAGGAAGCTGGAGTGGGCAGAGGGTAGGCAGTTGGGCCTGGGGCTTCTTGGTGAGGTTCAGGACTGAAGGAAGTGGACCAATAGCAGTGTGGCTCTTGGGACCTGGTATGGGCAGGAAAAATGACCCAGTGCTACTACACCTGGGCCTTGAAAAAAACTGAAGTGTGGTGCTATCCTGGACTCTAGGTGTGGGGAAGCTGAGAGAAGGTCTAGAGAGACGGCCGCAACTGGTCATTCAGTATTCCAGAGCCTGGGAGCACCCCAGGCAGATCCAGGAGAACCCGCCTAGCGGAAGAGAAAGGGTTAACCTCAGACCTCCCAGCTCCCCTAATCAGGCCCAGGCCTGGAAGCCCCAGTTGCAGCCCTGGGCGGGAGCTACCTCCCTGCCACTGGCCCTCCGCCAGCCGGCTTCCCTGCCCAGCCACCACTGGTTTTCATCTGCTCACAGGGGGCCAATTCACAGCAGACCACCCCAGGCCCGGCACCCGCCTGCCATCCAAGTGGCTGATCCGAGTCCGGTGTAAATCTCCCCACAGGCCGCAGAGCAAGCTCGGCAGCAGACGCACAGTGGCTGCTGTGTGTGAGTTGCTGAGTAGCAGGCTGCAGGGTGGCTGCTGGGAAGCGCTGAGCCAGCCCAGGGCCTGGTGGCTGGGGCTCACCTTGTTCCCAGGGCCCTGCCCGACTTTGCCTCTCCCTACATCCCACCTCCTGCCTCATGGAGGCCAGACATGGAGCTGGCCTCTTGCCAACCAGAACCCAGCTCTCCTGTCAGAGGAACTCTGTGGGCTAGGCAGCTCATTCCAGGTTTTAGTATCACCTTGTGACCTTGGCCTGGTGCCTTCTCCTTTCCATCTGGGTAGCTGGGGTGGGGGTGGGGCAAGAGAGCCTCACCGAGGATTGTGGCCTTGAAGTTGTCTGTGCGGTGGTCCTCCGGGCATAGGAATCCCAGCCTCCTGCCCTGCTCCTGGAGGCTAGGGCTAACCCTGGCAGATGCACCAGGAATCTGGCAGGTGGAAGAACCCATGCTGGCCTGGTTGGGGACAATAAGGGACTACACATAGTGTGTCCCTGTGGAGTCTCCCAGTCCAGTGGCTTTGACCTGTGTCACCTGCCTGTGAGGTTGACTAATGACTTAGCTCTGTTGCATGGGAGCTGTTGACCCAAGAGTGGGAGGCAGGTCAAAGGAGGGTTGACACCTCCCCTGAAGGTCAGAGCCTGAGGCTGTGTACTTCTCAAACCTGACTTCACCCTCAGGCTGTAAGCTTTTGTCCCCATTTTACAGAAGGCGCAATGGAGGCCCAGTGAGAGTCAGCAAACTTTCCCAGAGCCCCCACTGGTTGATGGCTGCCTGTAATGGGCCTGGGGCTAGCTGAGCCCTGCCATCCCACAGACAGGGTCCTGGGCACTCACTGTGATCCAAAACCCTCAGCAGGAAGCTGGCAAGTAGTACAAGCAGGATAAGACAAGTCAGGGGCCCTTCCCCAGGCACCCTCTGTCCATGAGGGTCCTACCTTTGCCAAGCCCATCTTCCTACGCCTGGGGCAGGATGACAATCACTTTACAGGTATGGAAACTGAGGCCCAGAGGAAAGCAACAGTAGTTGTGTGATTGGGACTCAACCCTGAGCTCCAAAGCAAGGCAGAATCCTCCAGGGTTCCACTGAGACCCTGAGTCCTAGTTAGGGTTTCTGTTGCTGTGACAGAACATCACCACCACAAGCAATTTGAGAAGGAAAGAGTTTGCTTCATTTTACAGCTCTCAGGTCACACTCTGCCACTGAGAAAAGTCAGGGCAGGAACCTAGAGGCAGGAGCTGATGCAGAGGCCTCGGAGGAAGCAGAGGAAGGCTGCTTCCTGGCTTGTTCTTCAGTGATGGAGTGTGACTTGAGAGCTGGAAGATGACATTAACCCTTTCCTCCCCGAGTTGCTTTTGGTCATAGTAACATAGTAACTAAGACGCTCTGTCATACTCCTCCCTGGGCTGGGCCCTAAGACCGTGTCACACCTTTCTCCCCAGGTGGGCCCTGGGGAAAGGAGCTGGCCAGTTGTCTCCTGTGAGACAGCCTGTCAGTGGCTTTTCCCAGCCTTGCTGTTTCCTACCTGTACAGTGGGGGCATATGGGTCAGTTCTCCCTCATGAGGCCACAAATGCCGGCAACTGGTGGCCTCCTAAGCCTGCTGTGGAGAAAGCTCCCTATGCCCATCAGGCTCCAATTTCTTCTGCTCTTGACTGCTTTCGGGGCTGTTCACAGGGCTCTTAGATTGGGCCCAAAGGACAGGCAGCCTTTCTGACAGAGACTGCCCTGCACTCAGAAGGACAGAGGGTGAGAGAGAGGCCAGGCCAGGAGCAGCGGGAGGCCAGAGCTGTCCAGAGCTGTCTGGTTTCTTTCCACTGGGGGCTGGAGGCCAGTATGACCAATGCTAACTTCTTGTGATTTTAAGCCAGTGACTCTCCAAAGGAAGGGACCTAGGTGAGCAGATTGTGCAGTGGGTGTCTGAGGGAGAGACTGAGGCACCAAGCACAGAAGGGCAAAACCCCAAGTGGCTGAGGGAACCAGGCAGCTCCATGCTCTCTCACTGTGGGAAAAGGAATAAAAGGCTTTTTCTGTGGCCCTCCTCCCCAGGCACAGGCCAGGCGCTTTCTGCTCAGTTCTGCTCCCAGTATGTGGGCCTCAGCCTTGTGGCACTGAGACTTTCTGGCGCCCTGACCACGTGGGGTCAGCAGGCTCTCCTCTGCCTCTCCCTGGCAGTGGCTCCAGCACTGCACAGCCACAGGAAGCAGTCCTGTGCAATCCTCTTCCAGGGAGCCTGCCCTATGCAAGCCACTGGGTCCCAGCTGGCTGTGAAGCCTCAGTGTCCCAGGGGTGTGGCCACCATTACAGGTTCACAGACAAGACACCTACACCACTGACCAGTGGGAACGCCAAGAGGAAACAGTACAGAAGGGACACTGGGCCTGGAGTTAGGGATCTGGGCTGTCCTCCTGGTCACCATCCTAGCCTCAGTGCCTTGCTATGTCATCTGCCTTCCCTGTGGTTGTTGTGATAAGGACACTGTAGCTCAAAGTGGAGGGAAGAGTGATCAGTTAGACCCATGCCACACCTGTTAGGATCCATCCTTAAACTCAGACTGTCCTCAAGTCCCGCTCTCCTGCCGCTGGCCACAGGAACAGCTGTAAACACACAGTACACTGTGACTCAGAACCAGAGGACTTTGCTCATCGGTGACGACAGTGGCAGGCCTGAGGTTTTGCACTAGCATTTCTGTAGACCCATTGGATGTCTTGGAGCTTGTGGTTGACTGAGACACCCATTTCCTTGCCCCCAAACTGCCATCTGGTCAACCCGAAAACTCCCATCTATCCGGTGGGCTTCCTGCCTGTTGAGATGGCTTGGAATTCATTGTCCCCATGTCATCCACACATCCTTGCCATCTCCAGGAGCCTCAGAGCTTTGGCACTTCTACTGAGCCACATCAGGGTACCATGATACCAGCCAGTTGACCTCAGCAAAGCACAAGCCTTCTATCCAGTTCCCAGCTACCCGCCTGTCTCATTACAGACTTGCTCAGGCCCTAGGTCAAGGTGCCCCAGGCCACACTTTCCCCTAGAGCCTTTGGGGTGGTGACAGCTGCTGCCAAGCATACTACAGGCCTTGGCTGGGGCCTTATGAGAAGACAGCAGGGTTCCCTGGCTATCATGACCTGCTGAAGGATGCCTTCCAGGAACCCCTACACAGTTTCTGAGGCTTTCCCGAGTCCAGCTGGTCCTGTGGTAGGCATGTGTGGGAGGTTTGAGCTCCATGAGACCCAGAGCCTTTATACTTCCCTTTCAGTCAGGAGTCAGGTTCTTTCTGGGTCCCTCACCCCAGCGCTGGTCAGTGGTCAGACTTTTCAGGTCATAGCATCACTTGTCCAGCCTCAGGCAGAACAGTGAAGACCCTGTTGTACCACTCACCTTTCTGCAAATCTAGAAAAGTCCATGTCACTCCAGACCCAAACACTCAGGCAAGCTTCTCATGCTGAACACCCTTCTTACACTTTCCTAGCACGTCCAGGGTTAGGAAACCCCATCATCTTGACATGCTGCGTGACCTCAGACAAGCCTCCACACCTCTCTGAGCCATAGTACAGAGAAAACCTGGGAGCCAGGATGAGCTAGTAGTTAGACAAAAGGCTGAGATGCCTGACGGGAGATGTGAGCTTGTATGGGGCCAAAAAGAGACATTCAGAATTGCTGTCTACCAAGGAAAAGGGGCAACTGCAACTCCAGGGGATGTGACAAACAAAGTCAAGGGACATCCAGTGATGTGGCTCTTCTTGTCACACTCATGAGCTCTCCCAGGGTGGCAGGGAGGGCATTTCCGAGAGGCTGGTCACTGTCCCCACATCACAGGTGAGGAAAATGAGATCCCAGGAGAAAGTGATAGAATAATAGACCAGGCTGAGGCCATTCTAGAAAGTTCCATGAATGGACTCTGTCTCTGTTTTTCCATGCACATAAACCCCCAAAGCGGCTGGGAAGAGAAACTTCAGGGTTGGTGAGGACAGGCACTTTCTGACAAGGAGTCTCAGTGGCCAGAGCTCACCTATTCTTACTTAGGAACTCGGTGTGTTGTTTGAGAAATGAAAGATGGGTGGTTGAAGAGTGTGTGTGGCTTAGTGGCACCCCTAGGTGTCCCTCAACCATTAGTGGGTGCACTGCCAGCCTGGAGCTCCTATGTGGGCTGTGGCTGTGCAGAGGATGGTAGAGAGGACTAATACGATACTCCACCAGTTACACTGGTCCCTTGGCCCTGTGTCTAGGCAGGGACCTGAAGCCTGTATGTAAGCCCTCAATGACCAATGCCTCTGCCCTCCTTCCTCGGGCCCTGAGGGGAAACATGTTTGAAGGTGGCTAGGTTGGCCAGGGCCAGGTGGCCAGCACTGCCTTACTGTATCTCCTCATGCCCTCACAGGAGTGCATGGAGAATGGGCCTCACCCCTGGGGGCCCCTCCTGACTCTTTGGCAACATGCCTGCCTGAGCCATTCTTCTAGGCCTGTTGTCTCAGTATTCTTTTCTGTCAGACCATATTGGGGAGGTTTAGGTAGTTCAGACCTTAACATCACAGCATGCTGACTGGCCCAGTCAGAGTTCCCAGTGTGATGTAAGAACGACCATTCTGAGGAGAGACCAGGCAGCCTGAGATGGCACATAGCCACCATCTCTGTCTCGTTCAGAAAATCAGAGCCTTCCAAATTAGACACCAGGAAGAACTTCCCAGTAGGGCAAGGCATTGCAATGGCTGATGGGCTCCTCGTGCTCCACAGGGCACCGGCAGAAGATAGAAGACCAGACCAAGGCCTTCCCTGACCGCTTTGGAGATCTGCGCATGCGTGTAACACCAAGCACCCCTAGCCCCCGTGGATCACTCAGCACCACAAGCCATTTCAGCAGCCAAGCCCAGACCCCAATCCAAGGTATGGAAGAGCAGAGACTTGTGGGGATCGGGCAGGGTGTGGATAAGGAGCCACGATGTGGTCCACTTACTCCAGGCCAGGTCCTCGGGGGAGATGGCTCCCACACTGTTTCTTGGTGCACAGCTGGAGCAGTCTGCAGTCTACACTACCAGGTCAACTCATGCACAGTGTCTGACCTTGGGATAAGCATGGGCAGATGTGGCTGTCCCTCCCTTCTGAAGCTCAATATCCCCTAGGGAAATGAGGGTGACCCTGTGGTGTGCACAGTCGTGGCCACCATGTCCCCGCTTGACACACACTTCTATGACCTCAGCCATCTCATAGCAGGGGAGGGGAGAGATACAGTAAGGATATAGCCCCCCTTTTCTTTCTTCCTTGAGATGTGGTTTCTTTGTACAGCCCTGGCTATCCTAGAACTAGCCCTGTAGTTCTAGAACTAACCAGGCTGGCCTTGAACTCACAGAGATCCACCTGCCTCTGCCTCCCGGTTGCTGCGATTAAAGGCATGCATTATCCCAGCAGGGTGGGGATGTCTCTTCCTGGGGCTATTCACACCTGAGGCTGTGACATGGGGTGCCAGCACCACCTAGCCCAGTCCCTCCACCCATTGTCACACAAACAGAGAGCACTAGGGTTGGACTGTATCCCCAACTGCCTAGATGAGGCAATTAGGCTGCAAGCAGATCTCCCTGCGGCCTGTTAGCCTGGGGCAGGTGTTTGACCAGCCCCATGGCAGACTTTGTACTTCCACCAAGAGTCAGAGACAGGAGGCTAACTGTAGCTGGCTCAGGCCAGGCAGGAGCAGATGCCAAGCCACAGAGGCCAGAGGGCTAGCTGCTGCCCTGTGTGGCACTTGTCCCTTCAGCTCACCAGCTGGCTCGGGGTCAGTGTGGCAGATGAAACGAAGCTGAAGAGGGTTGGTGCCACCCTTGGGTCTAATGTCTACCTGGGCCTCTCCCTAACTGAGGACTTCTGAGGGCCTAAGAAGGGACCAACCATTGTGGCCTGAATGGGCTGAATGCTGGCACGTCTCTGCCCTACCTTCTGCCCTTCTCCACATTGGTCTTACCATGAGAATGCATTGCCAGGAATATTAACCACGTGTTCTAGGCATGATACAGTGTCAGGGGCATGGCACCATTCCTTGGTGTGCCAGGAAGCTGGCCCAAGGTCAGGAAAGGCCCTACCCACAGTTTGAGCCCATGGGCTTGTGAGTTTGAGATTCGGCTCTTGAGCCCTGAGCCCTTGGAGGTTCATCTCTGGCCTCAGTTAGTGCCTTGCCTCATGCCTAGCCCTGTCCAGGAGCTTTTCCTTGCCCCAAGCCCTCAGGCCAGCACCTACAGATCCTGACCTGAAAGGGATGAATGGAGTCTAGCCAGGGACACCACAGAGTCCAACAAGGCTGGACAGTGCTTCCTGTCCACCAGTTCCCTTGAGAGAGGAGTACATGGTTGGCCTGCCACAGTGAGAGGGTGTGGTCTTTGGACTCTGTGCTCCCAGGTGCCAGACTCGGCCTCCCCATAGCCCTAGGCTTCACCTAGCCAGTATGGCACGGACGGCCAGTCCTGACCCAGGGTTCTTCAGCACCATGTTAGCTCCAACTGGCCCTTTGGTGTTCAGGAGAGGGTCCTGGATACCCACCTCAGGAAGAAGCATGTACTTTGCTATGGGGTCAACCTGACCAGTTCTAGCTCTGCCTTGCATTGGCTGTGTGATTTTAGGAAAGTCACCTAACTTCTCTGAGCCTCAGTTTCCTCACCCATAAAGTGAAAACTGGTTTCCAGTGAAAAGAGGTGTCCGTCAGAGTGGCTTTGGAAGGCTCAGATATGAAGAGACACAACGCACTCTCTGGTCCCAAAGGTTCCCGAGGGGTGCCTCACCACTCTCCTTGGTGCCTGTTAATAGCTTTGACCCCTAACTTTGGTCACTGTAGGCAATGCCAGGACCAGGGGGCGGGGCTTGCTGCAGCCTCCCACAATGGGGGCTTCTCACAGCTCAAAGGGCCCATTCATCTGCACACAGCAGCTGGGGCAATTTGGAGAAAATAAACATTTCCTCCCGCTGCTGGGTTGGCTGCTTGACAGTGGCCCCCGGCAGCTCAGATTTCTTGGGGCTGTGAGGCTGAGGAAACTGCTGAGGGTCTGAGAGGGTACCTAGGGCAGGTACTTCCCCACCACTCTGGAGGAGAAGCGGGAGCAAAGAGGAAAGAGGGGGGAGGGGCAGTGGCAGCTCCATGCATTCCGGTCCCTCTCTGCAGGGCGGCGGTCCCACTGTCCCATCATGACAAGCCTGGTTCGGTCTGCTTTGAGAACAGGGTCCCCTGCTAGCGGGCATCAGTGTGTGGTGTCTTCTCATCTTGCTGGTACTGCAGCATCCTCTCCGTAGGACTCCTGCATGTAGACGGGCATCAGGCATCTTGACCTCCCAGACCTCAAGACAGACTGACCAGTCAAGGAGTCCCAGTTTTCATTTCAGAAAGCTCCAGCTGCGTGACCCTTGTCCAGTCTCCTGGACAAGGATCAGCCACCACTGGAGCCAGGATCAGCCCTCTGTGGTGATCCACAGCCAGGACCAGAGACCCAAGGGTACCAGATCCTGAGGTCACCTGACACCTTGGTAGAGCCCAGGAAGCAAGAGGCCTGAGCTCTGCATCCCCAAACACAACTGGTCATGGCCAGAGGGCCCACCCAGAGTGGACACCAACCCTATTGGCCCAGAGATAGGGCCTCCCCTGGTCTTTCATCCATGATGGAGGAGGCAATGGGCCTCATGAGGCTTTGCAGGCCAAGGCTCTGGGCCACCACTCAGGACTGTCCCCTGCCCACTGCTGCCAGGGTATGAAGAGGGCCCCAGGTCAGGGTTTCATCTTATCAGGGTCCCAAACCAACCACCTCTGGGTACCCCAAGCAAGAGGTATGACTGCGGCTGCAACAAGATAGAGAGAACACCACAGGCTGCCCGGCCTGGCTCAGTTCTCAGCATTTTAAATGTATTAGCAAATTTGATCCAGGTCCTCAGGACATTGATGCACAGAGAAGTTAAGTGATTTGACAAAGACACATGGAGTGAGAGGCAAAGCCAGGCAGATTGAATGGCTCCAGAGGCCCCCATGGAAAGTCCTGCCATCTCCATGAAGAGGAGGCCAGTGTTGGGGCTCAGGACAGTGTGTGCTCTGTGACCCTCATGCCTCTCCCTTGCTGGGTCCCTGTTTTCCCACCAATGTGGTTAGGTTTGTTCCCAAAGCCCATGTGAATACTGGGATTGGGACGGATGGCGGGGGTTGTGATTATAATAGTAGGTATACAGGTTGGCATATCCCATCTTAGAGCCCACTGAGGAATCCAGATCCCTGGTGTTCCTATGTGGGATCTGACTGCATTTTAGTCAGGCTGCGGAGGACCCCCAAGAGCCTCCAGCAAGTGTTTCACTTTGCACCAGAGGTGGTGAAGGTTCATGTATGTAGTTGTGTGACCACCAGGCAGCTCCAACCTGCAGGACAGCCTTAGAAGTAAGGTTGAGGACCAGCAGGTCCCCTCCCAGCTAGGGCCCCAGTCTACCTACACAGGGCACACGGGAATGCATGTGTGCTGCTGCCCAGCCTCTTTTACTTAGCCCATGGCTGTTCCCAAGATCAGAGGTGATGTGTCTGTCTTACTGTCCTGCTGAGAACTGTCCTGACCGTCATCTGATGCCTTGGCCCCCTTGACTGGGCAGTTTACAGACCGAAGCTGTTTAACACACACACACACACACACACACACACACACACACACACACACACACACAGGGGGGGGCAACGGAGAACAGAGGCCTTCTGGAGCATTCTAGTATTTTTTTGTGTGTGTGCACGAGGGGGAGGGAATCAGCTTTCTTTATTTCTGCCTCAGTTTTTTCCTCTTCAGAGGTAAGGTCCAGCTCCCAGTCTCACTGGGCCGCTGAAGACCCTATTCACACCCTTGATGAGAGTGAGCTGGTGGGGGGCCCTGTCTAGTGACTGACCTAGCGGGATAAAGGAGGGCGGGGCCCCTCTACCTTGGCCCAGAGTTCACCTCCCACTCCCCGCCCCGATCTGCAGCAAGAGTTCCTAGAGCACTCCTTGAATAGCCTAGGCAGAGGAAGGAGGGGTCCCCAGGAAAGTCATCCTGCAGTGGCAGAGGGCCTGTGGTGGTTCTGGCCTGTGCATCTGACCCCCCCTCTTGTTGTCTCCAGGCTCGTCAGACCTGAACCCCTTCTCGGACCCCCGCCAGTTTGACCGCTCCTTCCCTACGCTGCAAAGCCTCACGGAGAGCCGCTTCCCGGACCCCAGGATGCACTACCCGGGGGCCATGTCTGCCGCCTTCCCCTACAGCGCCACGCCGTCGGGCACCAGCCTGGGCAGCCTGAGCGTGGCGGGCAGGCCGGCCAGCAGCCGCTTCCACCACACCTACCTCCCGCCGCCCTACCCCGGGGCCCCGCAGAGCCAGAGCGGGCCCTTCCAGGCCAACCCCGCGCCCTACCACCTCTTCTATGGCGCCTCCTCCGGCTCCTACCAGTTCTCCATGGCAGCTGCGGGCGGTGGCGAGCGCTCGCCCACCCGCATGCTGACCTCCTGCCCCAGCGGCGCCTCGGTGTCCGCGGGCAACCTCATGAACCCCAGCCTGGGCCAGGCTGATGGCGTGGAGGCCGACGGCAGTCACAGCAACTCGCCCACGGCCCTGAGCACGCCGGGCCGTATGGACGAGGCCGTGTGGCGGCCCTACTGAGCACCCTGGGGACTCGCAGGCCACCCGAACCCGGCTTTCCAGCGCTAGGCTACAGAAAGAAACAGACTTCGCCCTGGTCCCAGGGGCCAGAGCTGTCGATGGCTCCCAGAGCTCTGACTAGCAACAAGTTTGAGCGGAGGATGTGGGGACCTCCCCCAGGACACTGCCCCAGCCCAGATCCACCTCTGTTGTCTCCAGTCATGCTTAGGATTATCTCCCGAGTCAGAGGCTAACCCTGCCCATGAAGGAGGAGGCCTTTGCTGGCAAGAGAAGCTCAGGCTCAGAGATGTCCAAATTTCCTCTCTCTCACCCTGTACCCTGGGGACCAGCCCTCCCTCTGCATCCATACTCAAGTCAGTCCGAAACCCCAACCCCTGAGATGACTTCTTCACTGTAGAGAAGGAGGACCCAGGAGACACCCACACCGGTAGCAAACTTGACTTCCCCATTATCCCAGGCAAGCTGTCCTTGACCATTTCTAGCTTACCTAAAGACACCAGGCCCCAGAGCTGACTCATCCCTGGTGGCAGGTCCCTAAAGTGAGGAAGGCCTCAACTCCTCCAAGCACATTGCAGCCTGAAGAACCAACTCGGTTCTCAGGGGCAGGGGGGCCACCCCAGCAGAAAGTCTTAACCATGGGAAGCATCCCTGCTCTGTGGGCTCATTAGGTCCAGCCAAGCTGCAGCCCCACTCCCTACATGTTTGTACCTAGAAGCAAACAACCTTGAAGCAAAAGAAAGAGTGACTTCATCACGCATTTTAAAACAAGGTCTGTGATAGGTGAAGTTCTGTGTATGTGAAAGCCCCGCCTCTGCTAGTGTGATGTCAGTAGGCTCCTGCCACCCTCAGACCTGGCAGAAGGGGACCAGGGGCTCCAGGAGACCTTGTGGAAGCTCTGTTGAGGTGTGCAATGGCAGAGCAGTGTCCAAGCAAAGGTCGAATGGGAAGACTTGGCCTGGGGCTTGGGTCATGGGGACTGCGGGAGATTGTCAGTGGGATAGGTTTAAAAGCTTTGCCAAGAGCTGGCCCACAGGTGGTTTTTAAACTGAGTGAGCCACATCCTCTGTGGCCTTGGGACTCTCCTCTAGAAGGCTCCTTAGTGATGGTCTCTGTGGTTGTGCTTGGCTTCCCCTCTGCCCACACCTGTATCAGCCACATATACACTCTGGTAGGTCGGAGGGCCCTGCCAATCCTGTGCAGACACCTCCTGTTACAGTTTCTTTTGCCCCACCCTCATGGGGGAAAATACAAAAACATTTTCTATCTCTTGAAAGTAGCTGAGTTAGCCTTCCAGCTCCTGCATCTGGGAGGGCCACCTCACCTCTTCTCAGGAAGCAGCTATAGCCCATTGCCCTCCTACCTGCCTCTGCCACTGGTCCATGGTGTAGATTGGCCCCTACTACCAAGGAAGACACCTTTCAGGGTCCTAGCGCCTAGCACTGTGCAAGCCACCCCAGACAACTGCCCTTCCTGATATCCAAAAGCAGCTGGAGATGGAAAACACACACACACACACACACACACACACACACACACTCACTCACACACTAACACACACACTCACACACACACACACACACACACACTCACACACACACACTAACACACACACACACTCACACACACACACACACACACTCACACACATACACTCACACACACACTCACACTCACACACACACACACACACACACACTCACACACACATACCTTACCCCTCTTTCCCAACCTTGATTAACAGAGACTGCTGAGTCTCTTGGTCCTACAGTGAGTACAGGCAGCCTGGGCTGGTAAAAATGGGTCCTTACTCTCAAGGATACTTTAAAGTGCTCCTTGGAAGCACTGGCTAGTAAGAAAGCACAAGGAAGCATAGGGGGTTGATACAATGTCACTGTAAGTATGTGTGTGGGGGTTCTGACCCTTTGTGACATTGTTATCCTGAAGTATCCAACCCGCTGTGAGCAGGTCTTCCTGAAGCAGGCTCAGAGTTGAGGGGGAGGAGAGGGCCTGCTTTGCACTATAGGCTGCTTGGTGTGTTTGTTTTTTATGCACAACTTGCTTGTACAGTCAACTGCCCATCTTGGGTACTATTTAACTGTAAAATGAAAATTGTATTTGTTACAATAATATAACAGATGCCTCGAAGGACCTGTGTCAGTCTTCTAGAGTTGTGATGGTGGATGGGGCCTCCTGCCCTTGAGCAGGAGACCGGGGATTATAGGACATGGTTGCTGGGAAGTCCTCCATCTGGCTCCATCGGAGTAGCTACAGAGACCTGGCCCAAGGACCTCTGGAAGGCCACCTTCCTGGCTGGGCTAGGACCCCAGAACATCAGATAGATCTTCAAGATTACACTACCCCCTTTTCCCCTGCTGGCCATGTCAGTCGCACAGAGTCAGAAGCTACAGACTTCAGACACAGACACAGATTTGGGAAGGGACAGGTTGAAGGAGCAGCCAGCCACCATGATGAGGGACTCTGAGTAGGGTCTTCTCTGGGATGGGTGTGATAAGGATCCCTTTGGGGAGCCCTATGAGGTAGAAGTGCTTCCAGGTCTGCTTGCTGGGACACTGGCAGCAGAAAAGACAGGACTGCAAAAACTGTCATTTGGAGATGAGATGACTGATAACAAAGAGAGCTGTCATGGGGTCCATGGCTCCTGGTAGCTGGTAGTTGCCAAGCTAAGACCATAGCCTGAAAATGGGGGCTGTGGGTGATGGTGTAGGGACCTGGCTTGATAGTCCCTTTCTACCCCACTCTCAGCCTGTGTCTGACCAGTTGAGAACCAGACAGAGATTTTCATAAGATAGGCAAAGCTCTGTGGTGCCTGTCCATTTAAAGTTTCAAGATGCTGCCCTGTGGTAGTATTAGCCTGCCTAAGATCAATCCCCAACAGAAAATTCCTGTTTTCCTATCCTGGACCCTGGACCTTTTCCTACCCAGCAGCACCTCTGTCCCACAGGATTCTGGTTGCTGCTGCCTCAGGACCTGTCCCCAGGTACACCCTGAGTGGTCACCCAGCAGGACCTCTCCTTGGGTTAAGTCACAGCCCACAGTCTTTTATTTGGTTTATCTGAGGGTGAACCTGTAGGTGGCCCCTACAACTGAGGAACAAAACCTCTGACTTTAACGCCTGTCTCCTGCACCCCACATGTCAAAAGGAAACAGATCAGAAGTCCTGGGCTAACTGGAGACAGGGATACTGGAGGAAGCCATGCAGTTACCTCTGCAGCCTGTGGGGTGGTGGCAGGAGTGACTTCCAGGCAGCAGAAAGAAAGCAGCAATTGCCATTGCCTCCCCCCACCAATCCCCTCCCACTTTGGAGAGGAGTGTGGACTGATATTAGGAGGCGCTTCCCAGCCTCAGGAGAGTCACTCTTGCCCTGCCGGGGGTTTCCTCACCCAGTAGTGACAGTGACAGTAGCAGCTTCCTGTCTCTGCCCTTCAGAGCTACCCTCCTAGTCACATGTTCCAAATGTTAGCACAGTCACAGGCCCTGAGCTCCCAGGTCCCACCAGAAGAAGGGGACCTAGAAGGAAGAGCAGACTTGTGGGTAGGAAGGCTCCACAGCCCAGTCAGGCTCGTGTACTTTCCAGAATCAAAGGGACACTGCCAGCCTAGGTGAGGAGGTCAGTCTGCTGCCAGTCTGGAAGCCCTGAGGTCCTTGAGTCTCATCCAGCCAAGGAATCCACTGACTTGATTTGTGACTGGCTTAGTGGCAAACTGAGAAACAACTCCCAGAAAGGACCCAAGCCTGTGACATCAAGCTTTGACTCTTGTCCTGAGAAGTATCCGTCCTGTCCGGACCATGGGGAAACAGGTCTGGGGGAGCCAGTGCTGTGTGACATGAGGACAGGACCTGACACAGACAGACACAGATCTGCCTCCCTTCTCACCCAGCGTGTCCCTGCCCCAGACTGCACTCCCACAAGCAGCGAGACCCCAGCATGGACCCGGAAAGGGGCAGCTCTCCACATCCCAGCTCAGAGGGCTTCAGTGGCTCTGTTCATCTCAGGCTCATAAATGAAATGAGCTGTCAGAGGAGCTGAGTGTAAGAACAACCCTCTCTGGCAGGAACCCAGACCTCCCCTGACTCCTCCCCATGGGGGCTGTGCAGAGTGGGGGCCCACGTCCCCCCAATATCCGCTGCTACACCTGTGTGGTCCCAGCCAGGGGAGTCTGGGAAGCCGGATTCCAAACTTCCTATTTTTAGTTTGCGACTAAGAGTGGGCTGTTTGTTTTATATATTTATATCCACCACAGAGTGCCTGCCCCAGCCAGCCGGGAATGCAAAGGGGTGGGTGGCCCTCCCGTCAGTGCCACCTCCCTGCTGTGCCCCAATGTTGGAACTGTCCAAGACTCCTTGGTGCTCTAACGGGGCAGCTGCCATTGGTCACATAACCTGTGCTCCGCTTCTGGGCACAGTATCTTCAAGGCTTTGGCCACAACCCCCTCGGTCACGCTCCAAGTGCCATCTGCAGATGCTCAAGTCACAGCAAAGCAAAGTGCTGCTCTCAGGACAGGCAGGGGACAGCAGGTCGGACCAAGTACAAAGACTCCTCAGAGGAGGCATCTCTCCCCAACAGACAGGTGGAAGGATGAGTTGAACATAGGGCAGACAGGACAACCTTCTCCAGTCATAGAGTCCTGTGTATAAAGGTTGGGAATCAGCTTGGGGTAGCTGGAGAGGAGGGTGGGGAAGGGAGTTGGTCTGGGTCTTGGGGCAGTGGGGAGGCCAGCTGAGGAGTGTGGGAAAGAAAGTGAGAGCCACAGAGAGACACTTGGGAAAGAAAGTTAGAGAAACTCAATAGCTGGTCTCATGGTGAGTACAGAAAGCAGAAGCTGTGAACATCAGAGTAGGAAGAGCTAGACAATGTCACAGACACCTAGCCCCTATGTCACAGGAAGGACTCCATGCCCCGACATTATCCAGTTTGGACAAGCTAGTGTTGTGTAGTCCTGACTATCCTGGAACTTGCTACATAGACCAGGCTGGCTGAG